TTCTCTCTCCCTAGTACTTTGCATTCTCTTTTCTTCTCCAAGAAAGCTAACTTGGCCGTCGAAGGGATTTTTCGGCAAACCACCCGCTGGATAGCTCATCTTTGTTTTGTTTGTAGTTAGTTGGAGTTCTTTTGGTGGTGAGACGAACTTGGTAGCAAAGCGTACGGAAGACAACAGATATTTCTCCTCCGTATAGAGATCAAAACTTCAGAACAAATTAATAACCCAAAATTAATTTGCCATAATTGAAATTTGAACAATGGAGACAAACCCAAATGTAAAATAGAGCAGTTATAATGGATAATCATTGTAGTTGATTGAAATCTAGATCTACCAAGTCATCAGTGCTATGACAAATTTATTTTCTTTGGTTGCTATGTTTTCTTTGCGGTACTAGTCTTGAGCGACCAAATGTTTCTTGAAAAAAAGCGGAATCAAAGACCAAATTAAAAAATTCTAAAACTAATAAACATAATATTGTTAATAATAGAATCATGAGAGGCAACAAGAGAATTCCAGTTTAAGGGAAATGCCTTGGTGTGCAATACATACTATATGCAATCCTATTATAAAATTATGTAAGTTTTTTACGAATTTATATAAGTGATCTCACAAAATGTATAAGTTGAATACAAATTCACTTAAATTCGTGAAAACTTAAAACTTACATGAATTTGTATTCAATATATGCATTCTTATGAGATTATTCATGTAAATTCGTGAAAACTTATGTAAATTTGTGATATTGCACGCCGGAAAATTTTTCCCAATTTAGAATAAGGGAAAATTGCAAAAGTAGTCCATGTACTTTGGTGCTTATGTCATTTTGGTCTCTTTAATTTCAATCGGCTTGATTTTGATCTCGAGTATGTAATTTTATTTTAATTTGGTCCAATTAATTACAATTCTTAGCATTTTTTTAATGAAAAATATGCATATAAATGGCATGTATCATATTTTTTAGAGTAAAATTATAAATTTACTCACCTCAGTGAGTTAATCTCAACCAATTCAATGATTAGGTAGTGTTACATAGTAGGACCACTCAACTATGTAGCGGTAAATCTTGTGATAAGCTTGCAGATGGTATGCATTGCATACCGGAAAATTTTTCCCAGTTTGGAAGAAAAATAAAAAAAAGGCTAAACTTCTGCGTTAGACCCTATGGAGTTGAGACTCTAAAGGTCATCCTTAGGTGGTGCTATATAGTAAAGCCACTCAACCATATAGTAGTAAGTCACGAAACTCGCACATTGGTAGGGATTCGAACCCACACTTACGATTTGTCCATACCTGAAAGGTTCGTTTTACCAATCATCATATGTGCTATCGTTCGAACGGTTGGTCCCAAGGAGAGTGGAACCTAGGATCTCAAGGTTTCTACCTCAAGGCTTTACCAAGTTGCCACACCCCCTTGGGTTATTTAGAGCAACTTCAAGGGTAAGTGGCAAAATGCCTTGCAAAATTACACAGAAAAATACTATTTTATTTTTCCTAACTAGTTTAGCCAGTGAGTACTCTAACCATACTCTTTATTTTAGCTAATCAATCAAATTAATTTAACTAACTTTTAAAAGAAAATATTATAAACATAAATAAAAAATTTTATGACATGTTATGTATGTTGACGTGGCATTTGTAAATATGTTTTTAATATTTAATTAAATTATTTAAAAACGTATATATACTAAGTTATTAAAAAAAATATTTTCAAACGATCATATTTTTAAATGATAATATACAAATACAAATACAAAATCAAATCAATTAGATGTAATATATAAGCACAAAATCAATCAAAAGAAGAGTATTTGATCAAATGGAGGAAACAATTTTAGCAGAAAACCTTTTTGCCTCTCAATGAAGGCTAATTAGTTGTAAAGAGTTAAAATAAAAATGGACATTTTACCTTTTCTAATGTGGAGCCTTTTGACCTTTTGAAAAAAGAGAAAACTAATTATAGTAACAACAATGTCTCAAGTTGCTCTTTTGGTCTCGTTTGTCAACTACGAATTTTAGTTAAAAAATTAAACGTCACTATAAATTATCACATCACTCTCTTTATTTTTTTACACATCTGTTTATAAAAGGTTAAAAAATTATTAAAATAACATATTTCCCAACGAGGCCTAATAACAAGTGAAAGTAAATTGATTTTCACTTTCTATTTATAGATTTTTGGTTACAAAGGAAGACGATGAGTGTTGCAAATCTCTAGGTGAATAGTGGACTCGCGAGTCATGAGGGGTAACAGAGAAGGAGCCAAGGGGGATACAGGGTAGGGATGGTAATTTAAATTCGACCTGATGGGGATCTAGCCCTTCGATTTTAATTAGAATGATTTTTCTCCTAAAAATATCTCGACAGGTCGGGATAGTATTTAAAAATGAATCATTCATAATTTTCAGGCGGGGAAAGGTGATTGGTTCCCCTGTCCCATCTCCATTTCTGCCCCGAATTAAAATTACTATTATACTCCTTTATATATTTAGTTTTAATTTGGTTTTTTCAACAGTGGTAGTTATGTAGTTACATACCAACTTGGGGGCATTTAACTTTATTCTCTCAATGGTCTCCATAAAAATCAACGTCAAACCTCTCACACACACACAAACACAAACACAACACCATTTCCCTCTCTCTCTCTCTCTCTCTCTCTCTCTCTCTCTCTAGAAAAATAAGAGGAATTCCTATCTCTCTCTCTCCGTAGAAAAATCTGAGAAATTAGCATAATAGGAAAGAACCCAGGTATGTAAAAGCCTATTTGATTTGATTCCCAAACTGTGAATGTGTTTTGAGTAGAGAGTTTCTTTTGATTCTTGCTTTGACTTCTGTGCAATTTTTAGGTACTTCTTGTAATTTCAGCTGCTATTTTTATCGTAAATCAAGTTTGAGGTTAATGTATGATCTGGGTAGATGTGTATGTCTTGCAAATTTGAAGTTTTATATGTATATGTTTTTAGTTTGAATTTTGGTGTCTGAAAAAATATATATATATATTGTCTTCTTTTTGGCCCTTTGATTAGTCTGAAGAAAAATTTTGAGGGGGGGGGGTGGGTCAATTACAAATACACCACTGAGGTTTGCTTAAAATACGAATTATTTCCTGTAGTTTGTAAAATTACAAATGCTTCCCTGTCATAATTTTTTATTTAACATAATTAATTGAAAAAGTGAAATTTCTAATTGTTCACCTATACAATAATAAAATTATCTGAATTATTAATTGAAAAATTTTTTTAACATTATTAAAAACTGTTAATTAACTTGATGATTTATTAATAAAATGTCCTATTTGTTATGGAATTAGAAACCTTAGGGGCATAATGTAATTTCTAAAATCATAGGGGTAATTTGTAATTTAAGTAAACCTCAAGAATGTGTTTGTAATTTATCTAAAATAAATAAATAAAATGGGATATGTAAAATTCAAAAAAAAAAGGGGGGGTTATGGATTTTTCGGGGTCAGGAAAACCTGATCCCCGTTAGAAGGCGGGGACAAGGGCAGGGGGTGATGGGTTCGCCGCCGAGGATCGGGGCGGGAATAGGGACGGTGATATCTTTGAGGATCAGGAATGGAGAGTGTTACTCGAGCTGACAAAAAAATTACCGTCAAAATTGACATAAACAGTAAGATGTTACTCTGGTTGACAAGAACATTTTACTGTATGTTTGAACATAACATCAACAACAAAAATAGAGTACAACCCACCCTGCATATAAACTGACATTACTTCTAGAAATTAAAACTCATACATACTCATGGAATACTCAATCGTAGCTTCAAAAATCCCTTTTATGATAATAAAAAATGATACATCTGTGGCACATCATAAAATATAAATTTATATAGTCAATTGATACAATAAACTTTGCATCTCTTTCTCTCCAACCACTGTTAATGACTGAGAAATCTGGAAAGGATAATAAATTCAAAGCAATGAGAGATCTTATTGAGGGCTTCGGTGGACCATGCCACCATGAATGATAGACGATGGATGGCTTTGGTTATGAGTCTTTCATAATAGCTCTTTGTATGTTCTTATTTCTCTCCTCAATCATCGTCTTCTCTTTCTTCTCTCTCTTTGTTAATCTGCTCTGCTTTTTTTTTTCTAAGAGAAAGAGAGAGATGGATGAAGAAGTTTCGACTTCTCAGACATATATATGATAGGGCAAAATTGTTTAAAACAATATGAAAACATATTTGTCTGTTCTTCATAAAGAACACACTTTTTGCTTAGAAGATTTAAAAAATAAAACATTTTGAAATGTGATTTACACACTAACATGATAATCCAAAGAGATTTTGACTAAATTTTCTTTTGAAAAACTCAATAAATAAAATTAAATAATATTATAATACAAGAGTCTTACACAAAAATGTGATCTTGGGAGCAACTTAAACATGAACTTAAGCTGCAATTCTTCCCCGAAAATGTTGAGTATAATGCCCGGCGTGCTTTGCGGGATCTCAAACACACCGGCACTATAAGAGATTATGTGAAACAATTCTTTGGCCTTATTCTAGACATCAAAGATATGTCAGAGAAAGACAAGCTCTTCTTCTTTCTTGAGGGATTGATGCCATGGGCCAGAGTTGAACTTCAAAGGCAAAGAGTGCAAGATTTTGCCCATGGACAAGTTGTAGCTGAGTGCCTTATAGACTACGCCGAACCTAAGCAATGGGACAGTGGTTCCCCGCGCAAGAGTAGGGGAGGTGGAAAGTCCCAAGGCTATAGAAAACCTAAGAGTGGGGGAGTCAACACTTCTACATCCAAAACCCATTCGGGTGGAGGACAATGGCAACAAAAGAGCTATGGTGACAGGGAAAAGCCCCTCAACAATTCTCTACAAGCAAAACAAAAGGCCCTATCTCTTGTTTCTTATGCAATGGGCCACACCGGTTATCTGAATGTCCACAAAAGCATGCCTTGAATGCTCTAGCAACTGTGTGTAACCATGTCTCTCAACCAAGTGATGATGATAGCGAGGAAGAAGACATGCAGTCTAGGCGAAGTGGAAAGGGTTCTAAGGCAGCTGGCTCTAGAGTGGGAGCCTTTCATATGATGAATGCCATGGAGAAGAAGGCTTCTACAGGGAGGCCTAAGAAGAATGCCAAGAGTGGCAAAGTGGGGAAACATTCAGATCCTAAACAACTTGTGGAGTCTAAAGATGAAGGCAAAGGAAAGAAACCTTTGTATAGTGGGGAATCATCAAGCAAGTTGAACAAGAGCAAGTCATCCAAGAAAGGTTTGATGTTTGTGGATGTAAAACTCAATGGGAAGCCCCTTCGTGCTTTGATTGACACAGGGGCCACCCACAACTTTGTTGCGGGGACCGAAGTTGAAAGACTTGGGCTATCTTTAGAGAAGGATGGCAGCCGATCCAAGAAAGGTTTGATGTTTGTGGATGTAAAACTCAATGGGAAGCCCCTCCGTGCTTTGATTGACACTGGGGCCACCCATAACTTTGTTGCGGGGACTGAAGTTGAAGGACTTGGGCTATCTTTAGAGAAGGATGACAGCCATATCAAGGCGGTTAACTCGGCAGCACAGCCCATCTATGGGGTTACAAAATCTATTCATTTAAAGGTCAGCACTCAGGAAGGAAGAGTAGATTTCACCGCAGTACCTATGGATGACTTCCAAGCCATCCTTGGATTAGATTTCTTGAGAAGCACCAAGACGGCAGTCATGCCTTATTCTAATAGTATGTGTGTCATGAGGGATAAACCACGTCTCGTTCCTGCTATGGCCACTAACAACAGTGACCGGTTTGTCTCAGCTATGCAACTCAAGAGGGGTGTTAGGCATGGTGAGCAAACTTGGATTGTTGCATTGAAGTTGAATGAAGCTCTTAAATCTACTCTTGTCCTAACCATAGTCAAGAAGGTCTTAAGGCAATTTGAAGATGTTATGCCTGAACAGTTGCCTAAGGATTTGCCTCAACGACAAGGTGTGAATCATGCTATTGAGTTGGTGCCAGGGGCAAAGCCACTAGCTCGGGCACCATATAGAATGGCTATTCTTGAGTTGAATGAATTAAGGAAGTAGCTTACAGAGTTATTGGAAGCAGGATTCATTAGGCCATCCAAGGCCCCATTTGGTGCACCTGTCATGTTCCAAAAGAAGCATGATAGTAGTCTTCGCTTATGTGTAGATTATCAGGCACTCAACAAGTTGCCCATCAAGAACAAGTATCCCCTTCCTCTCATTGCAGATTCATTTGATCAATTGAGCAAAGTAAGATATTTCACAAAGCTAGATCCTCAATCGGGGTACTATCAAGTACGAATTGCCGAGGGAGACGAGCCTAAAACCACTCTTGTTACTCGTTATTGCTCTTATGAGCTTCTTGTCATGCCATTTGGCTTGACCAATGCCCCAGCAACATTTTGCACCATGATGAATGACGTTTTTCAAGAGTATTTAGATCAATTCGTGGTAATATATTTGGAGGACATTGTAATTTATAACTCCACTTTAGAAGAGCATGTGGAGCATCTTCAGAAAGCCCTTACCAAGTTGAGAGAGCACAAGCTATATGTCAAGCTAGAGAAGTGTTCTTTTTCCCAAGAGAGGATTAAGTTCCTAGGGCACATTATTGAGCACGAATGCATCAAAATGGACCAAGAGAAGGTCAAGGCTATTCAAGAGTGGCAACCACCTGCTAAAGTCTCAGAGTTGCAGTCATTTCTTGGGTTAGCTAATTATTATCGCAAGTTTGTTGAAGGCTACTCAAGACTAGCTTCCCCATTGATAGAGTTGCTAAAGAAGGGCAAGCCATATGTTTGGGCAGAGGAGTGCCAACAAGCCTTGAAAGAAGCTATGTCAAAAGATCCTGTTTTGGCTATACCTGACTTAGGTAAAGCTTTTGAGATACAAATTGATGCATCTAATTTTGCTTGGGGTGGTGTTCTTTTGCAAGATGGTCACCCAATTGCCTGTGAGAGTAGGAAGCTTAATGATGCCGAGCGGAGATATCTAGCTCATGAGAAAGAGTTGCTTGCAGTAGTGCATTGTCTGAGGACTTAGAGGCACTACATCTTAGGCTCACGGTTTGTTGTAAAGATTGACAACACGGCAGTTAGCCGTTTCTTAACACAGCCCAAGATATGCGCACGACAAGCATGATGGCAAGAGAAGTTGGCAGAGTTTGATTTTGCGTTAGAATACAAGGTCGGTGCCACTAACCATGTTGCTGATGCACTAAGTAGGAAGGTGGTGCTTGCCGTGTTCCACCATGTATGTTCACTTACTTCCATTTCAACTAGCATCAAGGAGAAAATAAAGGCTTATCTAGACAATGATGCTATGGCAGAGAATCTTATGAACCTTGTCAAAATGGGCAAAACTCGCCAATTTTGGGTGCAAGATGGACTTCTAATGATAACAGGCAACAACATATTTATACCCAGGGTTGGTGACTTAAGGAAGGCACTTCTTTGGGAGTGTCATGATACACTTTGGGCAGGACATCAGGGATGGGAGCGAACATTGACCTTGGTGAAACAAGGATATTATTGGCGCCAAATATGTGATGATATGGAAGAATATATCCGCACTTGTCTCACTTGCTAGCAAGACAAGGTTGAACATAAGAAGAAAGCAGGCTTGCTTGAACCTTTGCCCATGCCTAAACATCTGTGGGAAAGTGTATCACTTGACTTCATCACTGCATTGCCTAAAGTGGGAGATATCGGGACTATCTTAACTATTGTGGACCGGTTCTCCAAATATGCCACCTTTGTTGCTGCCCCAAAGTATGTTTCAGCGGAGGAGACTGCCCAACTCTTCTTCAAACACATTGTTAAGTATTGGGGTGTGCCTAAAAGTATTGTTAGTGACCGAAATACGCGCTTTGTTGGCAACTTCTAGACGGAGTTATTCAAGCTTCTTGGGTCACAACTTAATACTTTATCAAGCTACCATCCGGAGATGGATGGGCAAACTAAACGCTTCAACTGTATGCTCGAGGAGTATTTGCGCCACTTTGTCAATGTCAATCAACAAAATTGGATGTAACTTCTTGATGTAGCACAGTTATGTCTCAACTCTCAAAAGAGTAGCTCTACGGGCAAGAGTGCTTTTTGAGATAGTGAATGGCCAACAGCCACTGTTGCCCTACACAGTGGATGGACCTTATGAATGAAAGTCACCCAGGGCTTACCAATTTGCTAAGGAATGGAAGAGAAACCATGACATCACTCGTGCCTGTCTTGAAAAAGCAACAAGTAAAATGAAGAAATGGGCTGATGAAAAGAGAAGCCACTTGAGTTTAGAGCTTGGGATCAAGTTCTTGTCAAACTCAACCTCGAGCAACGCAAGTTCATGAGGGGAAGAGACAAAAGGCTAGTGCGCAAGTATGAGGGACCGGTAACCATTTTGAAGAGAATTGGAAAATGTGCTTACAAGATAGAGGCTCCATCTTGGCTGAAAAGTGCACTCAGTTTTCCATGTGAGTTATTTGAAGCCTTACTATCCAGACAAGGAAGATCCAACCCGAAATGAACTGAAACGCCAAACCATCACAGCCAAAGCAGGGAAAAGGTCTATTGAGTCTATCTTGGCCGATCGGGTGAAAATGGTTTCCAAGAAGAAACAAAGGCAATACTTGGTGAAATGGAAAGGCCTTGGAGATGAAGAAATCAACTGGGAACGAGAGGTAGACTTGTCGGATTTTGAAGACGAGATTGTTGCTTATTGGGCCAAGTCGTCGAGGGCGTCGACCGTTCAAGTGGGGGAGACTGTTAAGGTGCGCCCATCCAAGGGTCAACACCTTGGTGCCACACTCATTTACGCCCTTTGGAGAGCCAAAACCATGCCTAAGAAGTTGTTGGTGCAGGTGCAGGTGCAAGTGCAAGTGAAAGCAAAGGCCCAAGGCATAGTGCAAGATAGCTCAAGATATGTCATGAAGCAACCTATCCACAGCAGGTCACAGACTTGCCTGTCCAAGTAGCAACTTTAGGCTAACTTTTGGAGGGTGAAATGTAATCTTTTTGCCTTGTAAATTCTTATGTAAATACCTTAGTATTAAAGTTGTTTTGGGACCAATAGTTGTAATTTTTCTATTTTTGTAGAATTTTTAAAATTCCATTATGACTCCTCAAACATAGTGGATGTTTCCTCCTGCCAGCTAGGAAAAGGCTTAACAAGCTACATTAAGGAGGGGGTATCCAAGTGTTGAACCAAACCACTTGTGCCTTTAATGTACCCCAACCTAGCTTATGGTAAGGAAACTTTTGTAGCACTTTTGGTGTATTGTTCAACTATTGTAATGCCTTCTTTTGATCAATGAAAAGTTCATTTCACCTTTAAATTGTTCAAAGCCTTTCAGTTGTTGCTTACTTTAATTTTAGCTTGTTGATTGCTATTTTGTGGCTTGTCTCCAATCTTGTGGCTTATCAACTTAACTAATATTGTGTTTGCTTGTCTTTACAAACCTTTTGAGCTTTATTGGCGGGCTAATGAAGAGAGTTAACTAGCGCCACACACACTTGCATATCTTTGTCAAGGCTTCCTCATTGCCAGTGTGTGACACATTGCCAAGTCATGTCATATTGACATCTTGCTTTTGAATGTTCGGGTGGAGCACAATTAGATGGCAAAATTTGTTTTTAAAAGCGTCATCTCAAAATTGACATTTCAAGTAAAGATATGACTTACTATGGTAATAGTTATGATTTATTGTGATATTAATTATGACTTATTATAATTATTATTTTGGTTATAATCAAAAAAATTATTAGTTATACTTTATGTGGTGTTTAATTACAACTCATTAATTTTTTTAAGTTATAACTAAAACATATTTAGTTGACGATCAACACTACAAATGTCACAACTTACATGTTATACACACCCTTTCAAAAAGGGTGTGCATTATAGCATGACCGATTTAGAATAGGAGTAAACTTTTTTTTTTCTTCTTGTTCTTCTAATCTAACGCTCCGTTTGTTTAAGCGGAAAACATTTTCTAGTGTTTGATACAATGAAAAACGAAAGTCAACAAAAAATATTTTCCATGGTCAACGAAAAACAATATTATTTGGGTAAAAAATATTTTTCACTTTTTATAAACGAAAAATGTTTTCCGAATTAAAATCTTATCAATGTCACCAAACTACCACTACCATTCTCACCTCCACCACCATACCATACCACCATCACCACCGCTACCACCCTACCTCCACCTCCACCTTCACCTTCACCACAACACTACCACTACCACTACCACTACCATATATAAAAAATATTTTTCGTCTAAACAAACGAAAATGAGACGTATCATTTTCCTTCTTTTTTTTTTACATACACACGTACTAAACTTACCCATTTTCAATTGGTGTTAAGTGATAGAGAGAGAATGGAACAACATAGCAATGAGAATATTGGGGATTCATAACCTTGTATCTTCAGAGTGCATAAAGGAATGTGTCATGTAAATGAAAAGGCATGCACAACTAAACTAGTTTCAATAGGGCCTTACCACAATGGTCGACCTAAACTACTTTCCATGGAAAAACATAAAAAACATTTTCTAGAATTGCATCTTCAATGTGACAATCAGAGAAAGGAAGATTACTTGGATTTGATGAAAAAGTTGGTAGAAAGAGCTCGCAAGTCTTATGTAGACCCCATTGACCACCTTGACAGTGACAATGCTTGATTTGTTTCTCAGTTTCTTCTTGGTTGACCTGACCAACTACGAGAAGAAGAAGTACGATGACAAATATCTATTCTCAAAGTATCATCAATGAAAGCGCAAATAAGCACGACCTGATGCTGCTTGAAAACCAACTTCCATTCTTTGTTATATCTACATTTTTTGACATGAGCTACTCCCTAACCCAAAATCCTCCTACTACCTCCAATGAACTCCTTACGAGGATGGCTTCATTGCTTCTCATTGACAAGCGACCAAAAAGCGTTACATTTCCATAACCAAATTTGAAAGTATACCTGTATATGAGAGAAAGCATTTTCTTGATTTTGTGCATATTGGTTGTCTTCCCTCCTACAGAGATGAGTCAAATGACTGCCCAAAAAAGATT